TGCTTTACAGGTAAGGTTTTTTTGATTTCTAAGTTAGGCCGAAGGTACTTTTTTATTAAATATTGTGATAATTAGCGATTTATTTTAATACAGAAGTTAACCGCACAGAATTGCTTATTTGCCAATTTATTTAAAGTTGCGAAATCCCGCAAATACCGGGATCCCGCGGGATTAACATCTAACAATCCCGCAAATACCGGGATTGAGATTTTGCTGCGGGATTGCATTCCCTACTCGACGCTGATATTGGGCCTTCTAAATACGGTCTACCACAACCAACTGCTCGTTTTCGTGAAGAAGACGATTAAATGAAAATGTTATCCCTTGAGAACAACCTCTGTCCCCAAAAATAAAGATTAAGTCGGGAAGATGAATGTTAAAGATCATAAAGCGAAGGAAAATGAGCTGGTTGGACATATACTAAGAAAGAACTATTTGTTGAAGGAAGTAATCGCGGGAACTATTCAGGGAGAAAAGAAAAGAGGAAGAAGAAAAAGGGAATTGGTGAACGATGTAACGAGTGGTTTTATTTCGCGCCAAATTTCATTAAAAAATTCGAAATTTCTTGTCATGATAGTGCAGGTCACCCTGCATATTTCATTATTTGTTCCAGTTAGAAATTTTGTGTTTGGGCATTTCGGTTCGCTCAAGACTATGGTCCGATAGATTTAATTTCGCTCAGATTTAATTTCGTCGTGGGAAGATTGCAAAGTTGATTGACGTCATCATGAGTAATGCGAATTTTGTCGTTCGTTTATCACCCAAGGCGCCGTCTAGACCGAGAATAGGAGCGGATATAGCACCGAGCCATCAAGGGATAAGGGGTCTTCATTTCGTCAGCAGAAAACCGTGAGATCAGCTTATTCAGCAGTTCCTGGAGGTTGACGACGAAGTTAGAGTGGGTTAAGTCTTCTTTATCTAAACCAATGGGAGAATTTCTAGCGGGAGCCATTTTTGTTTTATGGTAATTTGGGTGTGGTTTTTTCATTTCAATTCTGAAGAAGGGGATCGTTTTTGGAAAGACTCGCGTTTAGTACGTTGAGCGGTCAACACGTACTTTGAGTAATCGCGTTTTAGAAGAGACTCGCGTCTAGTACGTCGAGGGGTCAACACGTACTTTGAGTGATCGCGTTTTAGAAGAGACTCGCGGTTAGTACGTCGAGGGGTCGACACGTACTTGGAGTGATCGCGTTTTAGAAGAGACTCGCGGTTAGTACGTCGAGGGGTCGACACGTACTTTGAGTGATCGTTTTTTTACAGAAGACTCTCGGCTAGTACGTCGAGGGGTCAACACGTACTTTGAGTGATCGTGTTTTAGAAGAGACTCGCGGTTAGTACGTCGAGGGGTCGACACGTACTTTGAGTGATCGCGTTTTAGAAGAGACTCGCGTCTAGTACGTCAAGCGGTCAACACGTACCTTGAGCGATCGTGTTATTTACTTTTCGCGTTGATTTTTTTGCGAAGAAGACCCAGGTTCCAATCAGGTGATATTTTGGCGAACCCTTGAGCTTCACCCCAGTTTACTTTGGATGCAGTGAATCGCGTTAGGATACGTTGTGATTTCTCGAGGATATATAATTCAACGTGCTGCCCTAGTCCTCAAGGCGCCGATATTCGGGATCCGCCCCAGGTGGAATTTCCTACTAGTGCCGTACGGTCATTTGTCGAAGTAGCGCTGCGTTTTGGAGAGATATTTGCCCCAAGAAGAGCTGGTGAAATAATAAGTCGAACCACCCAAGAACAAATCGCGGTTTACCGTCGGATAGTGATCATAAAAATTTGTGTTCTGCCGTGCCGCTAACTCAAAAATCCGTCTCTCGCAGGCGAATCAAAGTCAATAAACTCTAAGAGCCGGTGGAAGGAAAATAGTAGGGGTCACTGTTTAAATTAAATACACCTGCTGTGTAGAAACTTTGGCAACTAGCCGTCTCCCACTCGCCACGCGAAGGATTTCCTGGACTAAGCTTCCGTTCAAACACTAAACTTTGCTTTCGTTCCGAGGAAGGATAGGCACCGTGGATTTTGTTTCCGTGTGTTAATTTCAAGCCACCCTCTAGGAAGTCACAGAGACCTAAGTGTCAGGTTTCATCACATCCACCCTGTACCAGAGGAAAGAGCAGTTCACAAGATCGGCTGTACAAATGTTGTAAAGGTTAGTCTAATTAAATTTGTAACATTCTGTAAAATTCCACTTTTTGGTAATGAAGCTATAGTAAAAATTTTGATTTGATTGTTTATTAAAGTCCAATGAACGATTACCAAAGAGTAGGATAAATTTTTGTGTTTATTTAAATAAGTCCCAGCACACGCTGGAGTAAAAAACGATTACCTGTTGTTGAAATTTTCAAACTGTAGAGGATGGCCACTCCTTGAGTTAATTAGTCTCACCTGGTAGGATTTTTTATTTAGTTTAGTTGTCATTATTAAACTATTTTTTTACAAGGAGGAGAGAAGAACTGCTAGATCCCTGTAATTTGTTTGTATCTCTAATATCATTTCAATATATTATCTATTTGGTTTCAATGTGCCTATGTCTTTAACGAAGAACGAGGGGAAGGAAAGAGAGGAGTAGGAGTTGCGTCAGGAGACTGGTAGGCGGCAGGTTAAGGTTTGTTACGCAGTTTCAAAAGAGTTAAAAGCCCACCGATTTGAGTTAGCCGAAGCATTTATTTTTATCGATTGAGCAGCCTGAGAAGAAGACGGTTTGCCTTGCCGGGCGGAACCGATGGTAATTTTCAAGCCCAGAAGGAACCCCCGTAGCAACGACGGGAGAAGCAGGATATGAACGAGAGAGTATAATGAGAGAGCAATCATGGACCTGCATTAGCAGAAGACTAGTTATGGTGATGATGACTTACAAGAAAGTTTCTCCATTCCTATTAGATCTCTGTTAAATTAAAATTTAACCAAGTTCCGTACTTACTACTGGTGAATCTTCCGGCAGCGTTTATTAACCTTTTGATATCCTTCTGGACAAGCGGGATCGATAATCCCATACGCGACAGAGGTCATCTGTGTATTGTTGTAATCGGAAATCTTATTATCATCACCTTCAGAATATTCCGCGACGCAAAAAATAATTAAGCACACTGTAACACAAACTATGAACGTTTTCATCTTGGGTTCGGCAGGTGATACTAACTCTCATGGCCTCGTGCATTAAACAACAACTCGAATCGATGTACAATGACGCAATATGGTTTTTACGTGTAATAACATTGCTTAATTCGTTTACCTTGATTATCGTTATAGAAGCAGAAATTGATATATTATTTTGGATTTTCGTTCTTACGTTTAATCATTCTGCTAACCTTTATTCTTGAAATTGTATCTTCGGTAAGGTTACTTTTGAAGGTGGTTTACTGTTTATACTGATTTTACTGATTTGACCCTATTAATTGGTTCCTCGAATTGAAGTTACAGATTCAACAGTTTATGTTAATGGGAATTGTTAAGGCTAAGTACAAAAGTGGAGCTAATGTTCTATTCCCTTTTGGACATGAAGCGGTTACTGAAGAACAACTATGTCAGATCTACGTAAAAAACACCGAAGGGGCAGTTACTTCAAGGAATCAGGAAACGGAAGGGGTTGATGAATATGTTTTATGCGCAATTGAAACTCCTTGCTCTTTAAATTAAGATTTGGGGAGCCAGTGACCAATTTTAGGTAGCCATCTCAAAAGTCATGAAAATTCACACAGTAAATCCCTTAGGGACCTACTGAATATTAAAGGGCTGTGAAGGAGCCTAGGCTAGAGAATGACCCTCTGAAGTCGAAAGAGTTAAGGCTAAAAAGTGGAGATAAGAGAAACACAAAATAAAAGGAAAGTGATGTTTACCCAAGACTGATTACGTGCGTGGGTTGATAGAACACAAAAACATCCTGAGGGCGAAGACATATTGATAAGAAAACACACGAAAATGGTAGGTGGTAGAGGTAATGACGTACGATCGATCGAAGATGAATCAATAAGTGATACCGCCCTCATTAATTAAACTGCAAATTCATGAAATAAAGTATCACGAAAATTTGAATTGAACTAGAGAATATGAACAACGCCTTTTAAAAACTTCCTTCCTTCTGAATTCTTTGCTTTTGAAATCTATTATTTTAGTTAAACCTTTAGGAAGTAATTAGTCTCCATCAGTGACAACCCTGGTGACAACTAAAATGTAACATTTTTTGCCAAAAACTTTCTCTACGAGTTATTTACCCTGTTTTGTCTTTGTGCTTGTTACAGTTAACAAAAAACACAAAATTTTTATTAATTTAGAAGTTAAATTTTTATACAAGGAGGGATCTGTAAATTTTGTTAGGTTGCGATTGGTGTTGATGATAATCGGTTTGTGGATATACTTGTACGAAAAAGTTGAAAAAATTAACTTGTTTTTTACAAAAGGAATTTTTAATAAGAATCGCAGTAAAAACAGTACCTATCCTATTAAATTGTATAGGTACGTAATTCAGATACCTGACTTATTTTGTAATTTTTATCTCATTGCATTGCAATAATAGTTATTTTTTATTATACAAGACGATAACGGGATATTTTAACCATATAGTGAAAGATGTTAATTTACGAGTGACGCAGCCACGAGTGAATTAACTTTCACGAGATGGTTAGTTTCCCTCTATCGTCGTGTATAATACAAAACTTTATTTTATAGCAGAAGCCATACAAATCATTGTAAAGCTTCTGTAAATTTTGAATTTAATTTAGAGACGTCAAAAATAGCAAGCTTAGGTTCTGCCGTCTCGATCGTTTCCATAGAAACAGAATTGTCATTAGTTTATATCGTGCATTTGAAATAAGAATGACAGATCATATTAGAATGCACAGTCATCTGTTTCACTTTACCTACCCTTACGGTTAAGGTGATCACTTTATCTATCCTTACGGTTAAAGAACGGCTTAGCCTACTCATTCACATCTATTAAAATATAAATTTAACATATGCTATACAATAAATTAATTTAAGTAGGTACCTAATTACTTACGTCTCATAGATAAACCTTCCTACAGTATTTGTTGACTTTAATTTGCCCTTCTGGACATTTGGGATCAATAAGAACATTCATAGGTAATCCTTCGTGGTTGTTCTGCAGATAACTCTCGTTGCCATCATGACAACAGCCCCAATTGTACAACAAAATCAAGCATGCAATTACGAACATTAGGCAGGGCTTCATGTTGAATACTGACAATGCGTCTGTTATTGCGCAACTGTGACCTTGTTCATCATTTATCGGTCCGGTGAAAAGTTGCTAGTGAAGTTTTTTTATAAGGGAAGGGGAAATTTTTGAAAAAATTGAATCAATTGCGTACTCAGTAGTATTACTTACGGTTTAAGTCATGATTTTCAAACATCTTGCATTAACCTTACGCTCCCCCGGTTGACAGGCCGGATTGACAAGTGATTTGGGTGATGGTTCTCCTACTAGGTCACGCAATTGCTTAATGCGTTCGAGAATATCCTCATCATTTTCTTCACAGGAAGCCGAATTGTAAAGCAATATAAGGCAGGCCATAACAAAAAGTAGGAACAGTTTCATAGCGAATTCGAGAAGAAAATACTCATAAATTGAGCGCCGTCTGCACTGAATATAAACACAGGTCAAAAGTACAATGACGCTAGTGAATTTTTTGAAATTATTTTGAACTATGATTTTAATACATTTATATGCTGCGTAGAAGGGGGTTATATTTATCATTAAAAAAGAAAGACGTATTTGGTCATGTTTATCTGCACATTTGCCAATCAAGCCGAGTTCATTAAAAGGGGTCCAGTACTTTTTGCAATGTCAAACATCAAGCAGCAGCAGGAAGTCAAAAACAGTTAAACAACCGATGTCTATTAACTTTTTTAAAATTTGTATCAGAAAGCTTGCCCCTTTTCAGAAGTACACCTCCATTTTCTCTTCGTTTTATGATTTTTGAGCTACGATAGCGTGAAAGCGGAAATTTTGACTGCGCTGCTTAATTTGAAGGTTGCAAAGTTGTGCAAAAAGATCCAACTGGTGCTTTATTTGTTTACAATTAATTAAGAATAAGCTGTCATCTGGCACTAAAATAAATTATCCTGTTAGGTCGATTTCTACAAATGCAAAAGATTTCTTTGGCTGGCACCTGTCTTTTGTTTGAAGCTCTTACAAATGCGTATAATTTAGGGTATGCTGCCATATCTGTTCCATTTTTAATCGCAGTATTGTCGGAGGTTTTGAATAAATGCACCAAAGCATAGAAGATTTAAATAACTTTGACATTTCCTTCATAAATTCCAGCATACTCGACCCATTTAGGACTTTGTAAGATGCTTTCTATCCACGAAAACAAGTGTACATATTCTTTATAATAGGCTTTACTGGATTTGAATTTTGCACCTACCAACTTTTCTTCTGCTTCTGCTTTTGCAACAAGCCACAGATAATATAGAGACACGAAGGTGGTTAATATTTGGGTTTTACACGTGTTTTGTGATGCAAGTAAATCAGCTTACGCTGCAGTAATATTTTTACGATATCCTGTCAGTGAAAATAAATTTGTTATTCAATTTGTGCAAGCGAAGACAAAAGTGTGTCCTCTCAAACCGGCATCAATACCTAGATTAGAGTTGATGGCTCGTTTGATTGGTGTTAGATTGGTTAAATATCAGTAAAAGCTATTTTTATTTGTGCAAAATAGAGTTAATGAGATTTTAAAAACTAGTTCACTTAGCAAATGGAATTATTATATTCCAAGTAGTAAAAACGCAGCGGATTTGCCTTCACGTGGATGCACTCCTGAAAAATTGTTAGAGATAATGTCGTTAAATTAAACACAAAACACAAAACCTTCCCTATACTAATTTCAGTTAATTAAATTAGTATGGGGAAGGTTTTGTGTTTAATTTAGCGACTTCATTCTACACAACCCCATTAAGAGTTTCATCACATCATGGATACATCTCATTCATCAAAATCAAGTTTGATGGACGATTAGACTCCGACAGTCTTCTTCTGATATGTTTTGCCTATGACCTTCGTTCCCGTCCTGAATTTCTTCACAGGAAACCGAATTGTAAAATAATAAGAGGCAGGTAATTACGAGTAGTAGAGGTGATTTCATGGGGAATTAGAAACACAATAGCTAGGTACTTTGCGGATTTGCGTTTCTGATGCAATAAATATCAAGAAAGGTCAGAAGTATCAATGACGCAAATGAATTTTTTGAAACTATTATTACAATTTTTATTTTGATATGTGTGAGTTATATTTGTTATTAAAAAACGGAGTTTTCACCTAGCAAGGTTACAATCATCCTGACCTATAGTAGATGAGAAGCGCAGTTTGCATTTTTTCACGTTCCATTCTTTGTTTTCTAAGAAGTGGCAAATTGAAGTGATATAGTTAGAAGCAAAGTTATTGATGAAATCAATTGATGATTGTAATCCAATAAATTCAAATTGAGGCAACGGTTGGGTAACCAGTATTTGGGAACTATTGTGGTTCTAATACAGCAACCTTTAAGTACCAAGCTAGGAATTTCTGTGGATAGTAAACCTAGAAAATTGCTGTCATAAATTGTCAAAGGTAACAATTCTAGTATCGAGTAATATGGACTTTGGATCTGTGCAGGAATTGAAAGTTTGCTATTCCAATCTTCTTATTAGATAGAAATTTCTTATGATACCTACAAAGGAACCTGTGCGCACTTCAGCTTCTTCGTATGTATAGGGAAAATATAACTGAAGCAGCAGACAACATACAATGGCATCCAAGGACTTATAATTATATAGTTCGAACTATTTCATAATTTATTGACAGACAGCCAGGGCCGGTGAAAGGCTATTTGGCGCCCTAGGCGAGATGTTCTCAGCGCGCCCTTCCGGAGGTTATTCCTAGGTACCAGTACCAGGCAAAAAATAGAAAGTGGCGTTCATAAATACTTTATTGTGTTTTCTTCAAATACATAATGACATAACGACATAACGTGTAGGCGGTGTAGGTATACAAAAACGCATATCCAAAGATATTAGGGTAGGGATATACACATAAAAAATCAAAAATTCATCTTCCTTGCCTTATTTCTCGCGAACTGCTGGACTATCTGTTCTAAATTTACATTCCATTCCTCCTTCGATTCAATTGAGATCATTGCCAAGTCCACGAGCCTATTCTGAGACATTGTTGACCGCAAAAATGTCTTTATCAGCTTTAGCTTGGAGAAACTGCGTTCTCCGCTCGCCACCGACACTGGAAGCGTCATTAAAAAGTACCGGGAAGTTTTTTGGAGCCGCCGACGCGCTGTCGCTGAAAGATGTTGCTTAATTTTGGCGCCCTCTGAAGCTTGGCGCCCCAGGCAGCCGCCTATGTTCGCCTTGTGGTTTAACCGGCCCTGCAGACAGCAATCGTTGATAGGGAATAGCTTCTTTCAGTATTGCATAACTGTTGATTTTTTTTGTTTTAATTTTAGTATACGCTTTATATAAGTATTGCTTATTTATGTAAGGTATGCTTAACTTTTATACTTACCAGTAAACGCTAATATAGCCGTCTCTTACTCAGCCATTAATTTTCTTACTGGTTATACGGCCTAACGGCCTAACTGCTCTCTTAAGTATCTCGAAAGTTTTTACCTTACCTTACGAAAAATGACCACAGAGAAGAAAAAGATTTTAAAAAACCGGTAGAAAGTGTTTTAAGGCGCTCGTGAGCGTTTTTTCCGCCCCCGAGCATTTTTTTCTGCTCCCGAGCGCTTTTTCCGCTCACGAGCACTTTTCCCGAGCGCTCGCGATAAACCGCTCGATCACGTTTAGGAGTGCTCGGAACTGCGCGACGCGCAGCTTCGAGAAAAAAGTAGGTAACCGTTCTATCTTCTATTTAAAAAAATAGTAATTTGTTTTATGCTGCTCCTTTGTTTTTGTATCACTTGCTTTTTTGAATATGTAGCTTTATCAGAAATTGAAAGTAGAGTATTTTTGCTTCTTGCACTTTTTTGCTATCTCCAATAATAAAAGAAATATACGCTTGGACCAATCGCACTGTATGCAGGGTGAGTTTTTTTCTATGTTTAGTATGGAGATCTTGTACACCGTAAGAGATACAAAACCGCTTAAATAGGCAAAGACTTGCAGAATTTTATGTAGATTAAGTTTCCCTTTAGAGCATCTTCTAACTGTACAAATAACGAAGTTATGGTCAAAAAACCGAAAAATTTTCGAAAATGCGCTGCCGTTTAAGCTCAGCTTTCTAGTGCTAAGCAAATACTAAACATTGGAAAAAGTTCACTCTGTATAATATTTAAGCCAACAGAAGAGAATTTAAAATAATTTGAGGAAGACAGAGATTCTTATTTACGCCTCGAGTTACGCTTATACTCGTACTAAGATATTTCGTCGATTAAGCCTGTTACATTTTTTCTAACTCACGTTCCATACATTCATATAAAAAATGCTAATATCTGGCAATAGAAACGCCTCCTTTAGTTGTACCTTGCGCTAATGTTTTGTGCGATCAATGATGTATATCAATCCATGACTAAACTTTCCTCTAAAAATAATGCAAGAATGAAACTCATTCCACCATCAGAATCGTTCCCAGAAGTTCGGCTGTATGCGAAAGTCCATTACCATACAAATAAACGCCATCTACCTCTTTGGAAATAAAAATGTATCTTCTAACAGTTAACAAATATAATTGAACCCATACATAGGACCAATTAAATAATTTTACAGATCAAAGTTTTACTTTCGTAATGCTCATTTCTTAATGTAGTTAATGTTGGAAGATTTCCACTTCTACCTATTTACCTGCAACAACGAAAATTTTTCAGATAGTTCAATTGAATTTATGGGAATTGTAATTAATTTTACCTGAAACCGTCAAGAAAATCTAAATTTCAGGGCAATTTTGACAACAGAAAGTTGATCTTTACCTGACTAGTACTGTAATATTTTTTTATTTCATACTATCTAGTAATCGCCGCTTTCCCAGACCCATTTGAGTCTGGTAAATCGTATTTTACCAGACTGAAAACTTTTACCAGACTGGAAATGTTGCCTAGCAACATCAACTGACATCCATATAAACCTAATATATTAATGTGTCAAACTACTGTCAGATCAAACAAATCAAGTGATCGCCTTTGCTTTCATTTGAATGCGTACAACATTCTAATCAAAAATTGTATGGCATTTTAATAGAAAAAAGAGCAGTATGAAATAAAATGTTTTACATTATTTGTATGTTAAATCAGTTAACGTTACTCGTTTCGAAATTCCTGCCTCAGCTACGCTTCGGCAATAAACATCTCACTCGTTAACGTAAAACTTGATTTACCATACTCATATGTAAATA